TCTAATGCAAATACGAGCACCTTAAATTCAATAAGAAACTACCTATCATATTGCATATGTAGTTTTCGTAATTGCTTTTGATAGTAAAATTCATAAGACCGCCAATCTTATTATTGCACAAAAATAAATAGAGCTCACAACATAAACACTACAAAGGGACGCGAGTTGTGTACGACATAATTCCAATGAAAACAAAGCCTTTCTTTTCTTTTCATTAATGTTCAATGACAACATTGTCAATTCAATATAGAGAACATCAAACAAATAATTTGTGTTGGAATCAGGTACTCACTCTGATAAACCATCAATCCTTCAGTACTTCCAGCAGATCATGAGGGGTCTTTAATTTAGCCCATTTCTCGACAGTCATGCTATTAGTGTTTTATTGAGTAATTGATTTTAGGGTCTTCGTTTTCTCCACCTTAGGCAAAAAGACCAAAAAAAATTTCCATCTTTATTAGGCATAACAACATATTTCTGATCATCATCCTACAAATTGTTTCAGGCACTATATTTGATAGTTAAAATTGGCAAGTTCAAATGAAAAATTAATAGTTTTACAATTCACATTAAAGGAAAACCAACCTACTAAAGCTACGTGCACTGTAATATATGTTAGAAAAATCACACGCATTAATCCAAGAATAATATGGAAAAATAATAATGATTACAATATCATTATAAAATAAAAGGGATAGAACGAGTTTGTTGTCTTAATATTGTTGACCGAAATAACAATCTGAGACGAAATCAAACCTGAGAATATCAAACAAAGAAGTTAAACTTCGTAAAGTAAATCAAAATTAAATAGAAAGAAAAATACTCTTTTTATTTTGATCAGTTGAGATCTGAATCAGTTGAAGCTTGTCGTTACACCGTTTCCCTATCTCCCAAGATACAACAACTTATGATAAACTACAATAGCACATCTGCAAAGATCACAAATAATTCTTGCCTTCGACTATCATCGGAAAAACTGAGGAAGAGAATATTTTTGAAGGAGAGAAAATATTTTTCAAGAGATGAAAAGTTCTTGAATTCTCATATGTGAAAAACTTAACAGGTTTGCTCACTATTTATAAGGGATTCTAAGAGAGATTTAGTCCAACCAAATATCTTTTAATATTCAACTTCAAATAGATAATAATATATTTTAATTTGAAATGTTCAAAAGATAAATATCCTTTTGCAATTCAAACTTAAATAGGTATTATTTAATTTGAAATATACAAAAGTATATAATTATCTTTAATATTCAAAGCTATAAATATAACAAATACCTTTTTAAATTGACATATTAAAAGAGTAATTATCCTACTTATATTCAAATTAAATAATATATTTAATTTGCAATAGTTAAAAGATAAACTCCTTTTACTATTCAAACTTAAACAATATTATTTTTAATTTGAAACATACAAAAATATATAATTATCTTTTAATGATCAAAATTAAAAAGATAACAAATATCTTTTTAAATTGACTTATTAAAAGAGTAATTATCCTACTAATATCCAAATTAAAAATTATCTTTTAATTTGCAATAGTAAAAAAGAATATAAATATTAAATTCATCAATTAAATTTACACTTTTTCCAACAATCCTGTACATAAATGAAATTGATGATTTAATTAAAAACATTTTTGCACGATGTGGTGATAGCCTCTACGATTGATAGTTGTATAAGATAGGTAGGTGTCCTCCTTTAAATCTTTCCTTGTGACAGTATGTTTACTTTACTAGCTAAACAGTAGATGTGATGTCCTTGAACTATTTTGTCGTTTGTGTAAACGATAACATACTTCACACAACTACCCCTAACAAGAATTTACTTCTCATGGGTATGTCCTTAAAGCCATGGACATCTTCCTGGTTCTACAAGAGTTTGAGAGAGCTATTTCTAATAGTCTCCATGAAGCGACCCTACTTCACTCTCACATAGGTGACTTATGTTGCTCGACTCACCGCAGCGTACACTGGTCATTAAAAGCTATTGCTTAGCCTATATCACCTTGATCACTGTTTACATTATAGGAACGGACTTGGGATAAGAAACCCCCACAGTGACTGCAGACGTGTTATGCAATTAGGTTATCTCTTTAAACCAAGATCTTGGGATCTCTAGCCAACAAGGTAGGGTTTTTGTTGAAGCATGTTTTATAATGTTTTGATATAACAAATTAAGGCAAAATGTTTTTGGACTTGAATTGAATTTGTTCAAAAATTTCAAAAATTTTCAAAAAAAAAAATCAAAGTCCATTAAAATAGAATTTGAGTAAAAAAACTAATTTTCTGAGTACATAGTACCGATATTATTCTTACAGTATTGATATTGCATGAACAATACCGATATTGTTCACGTGGTACCCATACCAAAACTAAGAGAAGTATCGATACTCTCAATGTAGTATTGATACTACCAACTTGCTCAAATTCCAGAATGCAAAATAGATACCGATACCTTAAGGGGTATCGATACCACTTTACATAATAGTATCGATACCATTAGCATAGTATTGATACCGTCAGGCCCAAAGGCTAGTAACAACTAGTTTTATTTAAAAATATTAAAGGAAATATCTATACTCATTAAAGGAGTACCGATACTCCCTCTCCTGAGCAGTTTTATTTTGTAGAGAAAACATCCCCAACGGCTCCAAATCACTCACAACGACTATAAACGGCCACAAACACATTCCAACATATAAATACAAGTTCAAGACACTTAAAGAAGGGTTAGAACACCTATCCAAGCAAAAATACACAAGAGAAACGTTTTTCATTCTTATTTTCTTTCTCTTGTAAATATTTTTGTTCTTGTGAGCTTAATTATTTGTAAACACCTACCTTTAAGAGGTTTTCCTGTTTACTTCTTTTTACCTTTTGTAAAGGGGATTGGTTCTAGTTTAGCCAAGTGAAAAATTAGAGAGTTGTAAAGGTTACTCTTAATCATTGAAAAAGAAAGAACAAATTAGTGAATTTGTTGGAAAATCCTAAGTGAGAAGCTTAGGTAGTGGATGTAAACTTGGTTGATAAGTTGAACCACTATACATTATTGTGCAAATTTCTTTATCATTTTACTCCTTACTCCCTAACCTTTAAATTACCAATTCACCCCCTCTTGGCACATTTTCAGTTGTCAATTTGAGCTTCTTAAATCCTAACAATTGCTATCAGAGTTTGTCTCATTAGAAGGTTTAATCACCTTGAGATGATCCTTGAAGAAGGTCTATTGATTTTCGACACAACCGACAAGAAGATGACTTCGACTTCCGGCTCCTACTATATTGAAGACTCTCAACCGGTCAACAAGCCATATTATTTCAATGGAGCAAATTATGCCTATTGGAAGAATATGATGATGCTCTACATTCAAGCCAACGATCTAGGACCTTGGAACTCTATCATGAGAGGAGACTCTCTTCCAACCAGTGAGATGGATGATTGGAGTGATGGAGAGAATAAGAAGTTCCAATTCAATGCTAAGCCTATGCACATTTGGAGATAAATATCTTCAACAAATCTGATATTTATCAAGCTTAGTGACTCAATAATAAACATTGTTCTCCAGTATTGTTTTCCATCAATGCTTCCTGGAGGGAACAAAGTATCAAATTTGTTCAAGATTGGTATAGTAGTTGGTGTCCCAGTAGTTGTTTTTGTCCTTCTTGGAGGATTAATTTGTTATTGGTACAGAGACCTTACGCTGAATGGTCCAGATATCACCTTTATGGAGGTGGTCACGGGAGCTTTAGCCTTAGCTTTGAAAGTTGGCGTTGAGAAGGCGGTGGACGTTAAGAAGGAGTTGGTGCATCTTAAAAGTGAAGATGAAGATTTTATTTGGATCATGGGTTATTGTAGTATTCGGAATTTTTTGAGAGGATATGAAGAAACTGTATTTGTAGTTCTTCAATCTTCTTGTTTATTGTTACAGTGGAAGTGTGAACTGGTGTTGAGTAAGGGGCTTTGGGGTGGAGGAAGAAAGAGAAGAAATGTGAACATGTGTTGAAGAAGAAGCTTTTGGGAAGACACGTGATTTTTATTTTAAAAATTAATTGCCACATAATACTTTCGTTAACAGGTTAATGAAATTTAACGACCTAAGGAATTAAACCAGACGAATCGATATCGTAAAGGACCAAACGCACTTAATTAAAAAATCGGTAACCAAAGTTGATCAAACCGAAAACAAAAACGCACTTAATTAAAAAATAAGTAATCAAAGTTGATCAAACCGAAAACAAAAGGGACTAATGACATAATTTACCCTAAAATTATCCATTTGAAAAAATCAACAATTTTTTTATTAGACACACTTCCTTTCCTACCCTTTTTTAGTTGTCCAATAAAATAAAACTTAACTTTTTTTAGGATAAAATTGTCATTTTAATTTGTTTATTACACAAACTTTTTTTCTAAAATTACGAGATAAATAACAATGAACACTATAAATGAAGCATATAGTATTATTTTTAATGACATTAAATCAACGAATATGCAAAAATAAAAATAAAAACTTCAAGAAAAAATGTAATTTGATTCTTATTTTTAAATTTAAATATTAATGAAATTAGCAAATTAAATTAAATTCATATTTTTTAAATTTAGAAATGATATCTTTATTGATTTTAAAATTAAATAAAAACAATTATATATATTATATTAATAACTAAAAAAATTAATCCAGATTACGTTTGTTATTTTGATCGAATAAAAATACCCAAAAACCCACACGAAGGCTTAACAGAGCACTCTCACATGTTGAGGGTATCACCAAACCCTAAAATCCCATAAAAATATTCAATTTTTAGTTCCGAAGAAAAACCCTTGAACTTTGGGCCCAATAATTGAATCTCAAAACTAGCCTTAAAAAATCCCTCCTTTTTCTTCTTTTCTTCGTATCATACGCTCATGTTTTATCAGTCCGTCACCCCAATACCCCATTTCTCCACCCTAAAGAAACCATAGCCTTCAAACCCCATCTCCATTACTGCCAAGAATGGGCAAAAAGAAAGTTACACCTCAATCCAATGACCCCAAGCATCAAGACCCATCTCAAGAAACTCATCACCCTTCCAAAGATTCACCCTTTCCAAAGTCTTCCAACCCTTTGAGCCGTCAATCTTCCAACGCTTTATATGTAATGGAGGCCTTTGAAAGCAGGCAACAGATTGAATCCTTGGCTCAAGCCAGGGAAGCTCTTGAGGCTGAATTGAGTGAAAATAAGAAGCTCGAAGCCGATGAGAGTGATAAAGATTTGAGCTTTGAGTTTCAAAGCGAGTTGTTTTCTATTTACATTGGGACCCAAATGATAGAATTTGTTGTTGAGATGAAAAAGATGTTCGGGGACTTGAAAAGAAATGTGAATGGACTGATGGGTAGTCTTGAAAATGATAGAGATAAGGTAAGGAAAGAGTTTAAGTTGCAGGTTAATGAGGGTAAGAATGAAAGAGAAATTGAAGAAGGTGGAGGGAAATGAGAGGAAATTAGTAGAAGAAATTAGGAAATTGAAAGTGGAACATGATAGGTTGGTTAGGGAGAAAGATTACTTAGAGAAAGTGAAGAGTTTGATTATGAAAGATAAAGATTTGTTGGAGAAAAACATGAAGGATGCGGAGGAGGAAGTTGGGAATTTGAGAAGGAAGAATGAAAAGATTACAAGGGAGAAGAGAGGGATTGAGGTTGAGAAAAATGAGCAAAAATTGAAAACTAATGAGATGGAAAAGGAGGTGAGGGAAATGAATAAAGTTATATCAAGTTTGAGGTCAAAGATTTTTGAGTTGGAAAAGAATTAACGGTGAAGCAATGGATCAAGAGGCCGAAAGAGTGACCAAGATCAATGCTTTGGTGGAAGAGAAGAGAGAAAAAGAAAAGAGTATCGAAAGGCTAATGGATGAAAAGGATTTCGTGCCGAGATCATTGGAGGCAACAATGGTGGAGTCAGAGGTTCTGAAGGGAAGTACAATAAGGTCAAATAGAGTACCGTTACTCAAAAATAAACCCGAGCCAGATATCAGGCTAGCTAGTTTCACGGTTAATAAATAAGCATTTGCATAATGTTCTAGATGAGAGAATTAGTGAGATAGCTGCTAGTGAGAGGACGAATTCCCTTCAGTGAGTCCAGCTATGTTAAGGTATACTCAGGTTACCTTAATCCTAGTGAGGAATTGATAGTGCGCGAGGCACTTCAAGGGCTAACTAGGGTGTGAGGCTGAATACTCACAAAGAACGGGTTAGCGATGTCAGTGTTATGTGGCATGTGGACCTTAGATATGCATGGGTAGTTATGTCAGGTAAGCTTCTGATGCACATAAAATTTGGTTCTTACCCCTAGGTTATTCCATATTCAAGGTAGGTTGGGGTGTTTCTCTGAGATGGACGTAAAATTCCTCTGATGACACCACTAAACCTACCTCATGTTTGTTTGTTTAAGTCTTGCATGTATAGTTCCATCGGTCTGATATATCAGATATGTTAAAGATTGGCTTTAAGGCTATGTGAGAATGAGCTAATGTTTCAGTTAGGCATGAATTGTATCGATGCTATGTGACATAGGGTTCCCCTCAGTGATCTACATGATGGTTATGTGAAGACCAGGAGACCATTCAGTATGTTTTGTGGCAATTGCACTGATGATATGTGACACCGTGTTCCCTCAGTAACTGGTGTATCATTGCTACGTGAGACCATATACTAGTTAGGTTTGCATTCAGATAATGTACAGTATGTTCAAGTTTGCATTTAGATAATGCATATCAATACATTTATAGGGTTATAAACCCTTTAGAGGAGTACTCATGGCGAGGCCCTTAGCAGAGGATTAAAGGAAGTATGAGACCCCTACTTCAGTGAAAGAGCAATAAAACCTTTAGTAGGTAGCACTTGATCTAGGTCATGCATGTACCTACTGCTTTGTACTATGTCTTCAACATGCTTATGTTTATAAAATTCTTATGCTGCTCTAGATTAGCGATTATACTACTGGACTTTGTAAGCTCAACCTTCGGATGTTTTCCGTTGGCAGGTCAGTAGCTTGGGGAGTTTGTGGGGCATCGTCACAACAAGACTTCTAGCATCTCCGACAAAGTATTGTATTGTAGCTTTAGTGGGAGTATGTAGTCATAGGACCTTACTCGTGTATTTAGTTTATTAAACTCATAGTCATTATTATTTTGGTTTTAAAGTATGTGTCACGGAACTCTGGTTTTGTAAAATGTTTTTATAGCAGTTATTTATGTTTTATTATGACGCCATTCAGTATGTTTGAACGGTAGCCTAATGTGACACTTTAGGCCCAATCGGGTATAGGGTGTTACACTTAAAGCTATCTCGAAGCTCCAAAACACCATGGCCACTCTCTCCCCTTCAAACTCCATCGTCTGCTCTCCTCTACCATTGATGCGGAACTCTGAGGAATTTATGAAGGTTTGCATCTTGTTTAGATAAGGGACTGAGAAGGATTATCATCGAGTTGGATAACAAAGATATGATCACTTTGCTTGGCAAAAGCGTGTCCTCAAGGGGTGCTTCGTCATTAATTCCACACGTTAACGCTCTCCTAGAATGAGATTGGCTCTTATCGATTCGTCATGTTCCTTGTAACGGAGTCGTTGATGCTTTGGCACATCCGGCGTGGTCGTCGCCGCCTAGCCTTGCTATTTCCTCGAGCCTTCAGAGGAATGCACTGCTGCCCTAAGTTCTGATGGTTTACTGCCTAATAGCTAGTTCTGATTTTATATTTGTATTAAAAAAAGTATTTTTTAACTTTGATATTCAAATGTAATGTTAAAAATATTTTACTTTTAATATATATAATTATTTTTAAATGATATTATTTAATGGACATAAAATCTATACTTATAAGAAAATAGAAGTGTATCTAAAATTAAATTTGGATTATTATTTTTTTATCATTGACATCATCTTAATTTGCCGTTTTTGTTTCATGAATTTTCAACATTTTGCATCATTACACTTAAAAGTCAGATTAAAATACTATTTTTAGATGTAAATAAATTAAATATTATTTTTTCGTGCCATATTAATTTGTAAAATAATCTAAATTATTTTATATGCCATTAAAAATTAAAGATTGTTCTAATTATTTTAATTTAAGTTTAAATATATTTTTATAATTAATGTGATACGATAATGTTTCTCGATCTATTGTTTTTAAATTATATTTAAACTTGTTAAAAAAGATTTTTTATAAATAGTATTAAATTATAATTAAATGTTTTTCTTAAAAAAATGTAATACTTGAATCACATTGCTTAACAAAAAAATTGATGTCGATGTTTGATAACAAAAAAATGATTTCATTGTTTAATAATTAAAATTGTTGGATCTAAAAATTTATAAATTATAGTTTTAAATTTTACAAATATAATCATAATTAAATAAAAATAATTATAAAATAACTTGATAAATTAAAAAAATGAAATTAAAATTTTAAAAAATATTTTTAAATTGCACAAATCAATTTACCTCAGTAGTTAAAGGAATCATTGTTATTCTTAGAGGTATTGAACATTTATTGTTAAATAGTTGAAAGTATTTGGAACAGATACTACCTTGTAAACACTTTAGCTTACTAAAAAATATTTTAAAATTTTAAAATGAATATTGATTTACTTATTTTTTTAGAATTATTGCTTAGAAATATTAAAACTATCAAAAATTAATTTTTTTGTTACAATTGAGGGACGAAATGAGATATTTTCCATTTATAGCACATCACTCTCTTAACAATAGTTAAATGACGTTTTACCCATTTTATAACAAAATTTAAAATTTAATATCTAGGAAATATTATTTTAATATAATTTAATAACTATTTATAAATTTTATTCTACATTAATGGTACATAATATTTATTGTGTAATTCCTTCTCCCTTGTGTTACTTTTTTTCCCTTTTTCCCACAATTTCAGACAATAACATATGAATTCTTAAATCAACAACATGTGAAATTTCAAATATAAATTTTACAAGGATAAAATACGAATTTCAATTTTTACATTTTCTCAATGCCAAAAAAAAATAAGAAGAAGAAGAACTATCCAACATAAATATGTTCTTTTTTTTTTCGTTTTTTGAGGAAACATTTGTCAATAGAACTATGGGTTATTCTTCTTTATCTATCCTCGAATTGACTCCGAATTGTAATTTAATAAACTAACTTGACTAAAAATAATCAATTTTAAATTGAGTTGTAAAATACAATTCGAATAACTCAAAATTTTTAATAATTAATGAATTGATTTTTAAGTTTGAGTCGAATTCCTTGATTTTGTATGAAATGTGTATATCCCTTATGAAAATATATATATATATATGATTATAAAAAATCATTTAAATTAGAATCAAATAATATTATAATATTATAAATATTTACAATTAAATTTAAATAAAAATTTAAAAATTTGATTCGACTCGAAAAAATTTCAATTTGACTTCAAATTATAAAAAAAGACTCATCAATTCAAATAATTCAAAATTTTTTAACTTGACTCGATCGAACATTCGTCCTAGTTTACATTGGATGAGTGTTATATGTACAGTCAAATTATAACAAAATAATGGCCATTGAAGAAAGTGAGATGAATAGAAATGTGAACTGACTGCTTCTACAGTAAATCAATACACGAAATAGATGACATTTATGACTATCTCATTTGCAACTATAAATTTATCAAGATAAAGTTCGCTTGGCCTCTTCTGAGATTGCTGCAATATACGGGGGTTTTTTAGCCCATTACGGATTCTGGATTTTTTATTTAAATCAGTAAGATGTTCAAATTTTTATTTGGGAGAATACGATGAGTAAATCTAGAACTCGTCATTTAAATAATTTTTTTTATTTAAACTCGTTACTTCGAGATGATGAGTTCTAATAAAAATAAATTTTTTATTAAAATTAATCACATCGTCCACTGTTAAAAAAATATCGTAGATCTCAAAATAAAAATATATGTTGTTTTTTTGCAATTTTTTCTGGGCTGCCCTATTGAGCCCAAAAAAACCATAAATGGGTGTTGTGTGAAATCTGATTTTGGGACCAGATCAGTTGTGTTTATAATTTTTCTGTGATAATGTGCAAACACGCTTTAAACGCATTGATGATGTACACATATGTTGCATACGTAATTGTTTGAATCCAAACTTTTATAAAAAACAACATTTTCTTACTAAGTCATTTGATAGATTCCGAATAAATATATTTTATTATCTTTTGTGTTTAAGATGGTTTATATCCATATAAGATTATAAGTTTTAATTTAAAATAAGCAATACAATATAAATTTTAAAACTTCTTATAAGATACAAATGTGTTTACAAAAGAATACTCATTTTCCTTAAAGTTCGAATACTCATTTTCCTTAAAGTTCGAATACTCATGTGTAAAGCATATCAGAATACGAGTATGAAGATACGAGTTTCCGTATACATAAAGAACATTTTAAAAAATTGAACAAACTTGTGTCGA